TTTTGTTGCACTGTCATCTGTTTGTATTTGTTTGTTTATTTCGGTTGTTGAATTGATTATAATTATTAAAGTGATTTCAGTTGTCGATTAATAAAATTATTTTAGTTTGTTGCAAGTTAGTTTGTTGAAAATGTGAAATTTGTTTGTTGTTATTTCAATTCATTGTTACCATTGAATTGATAATAATTGTGTTTAACAAATGTGATTTAAGAAATCGGTATACCGTATAAGTATGTTATTAGGTAACCTTAACCCTTTAAGTTTTTAAATTATAATAATTATATTATTATAAAACATACGTAGTAACTGGTAGTAATTATATTTGGAAAGAAATACCTATCCAATCATGAGAAGCTTAAAAGGAAAAGAAAAAAGAAAAAGACTTAAATGGGATTAAAACATAAGCGCGGAAGGTAAATAGGAGTTGCAACTTTTTAAACCTCAAATAGGACCAACTAGCTTTCAAGCCCGTGCGATGCACGGGTAGTATGTAATTTAGCTAATTTGAACTTTAATTTCTATCAGATCACATATAATGTGATTTAAAAGAAAAATAAATTTAGTCTAATATAGAGTCTGTTTGATAATACTAAAGTAAATAAAATTAACTTATTTTGCTGAAATTGATTGAATTCTGGTTAAATAAGTGGAATCTTCTGAATCATGAAAAATATATGTGAAATATATTTCATTTGTGAAACAAAGAAAAAATATATGAAAAAAAGTTAAATTGGTCTTCTACATAAGCATCTCACGTAAACATAATTGTTATAAATCCAATAATAAAAAAAATCTATATTTCTTAATTGTTAGATCTTACAGTTTACCTAATAATAAGAACGTTTTTTATTGAATTAAAATTTCGGGTTTGATTTGGTATGAATTAATATGGTCTATTCGATGTCTGTTTTTTATGTGACTTATTGTTATAATTATTAAAGTTTGATCTGATCTGATTTAATCCGGAACTGAAATCAATCCAATTAAAAACATTCTATTAAAATAAAAGTAGGAATTCGTAAACCTATAAAGATTTTCTAATTTGGATTAGGAATCAATTTTAAAAGTGAAGGCATATTTGAATTTTAGGTGTAAAATAAAGAAACAACCAAAAAAATTTACTTATTTGGCTAAGCTAAACATATTTACTTATGAAAATATATGTACTTTATGTTGGTTATAATTTTTAATTTCATTTTTAATTATTTACTTATTTGAAGCTTACTAATTTATTAATAGGTGTCAAATTAATAAGTAAACTAATTTGCATATTTGTTTCTATTTAATTCGGTGTAGTAAACTAAAATAAATTAGTTTCCATATCAATAAACGTTATTAGAATTTCTTTTTGATAACCAAAAATTATTTTACCAAATTAATTAAGGTGGATTTATAAGGATTTTTGTTTCCATATCAATATGCAATCAAAAATAGAATCTAATAAAAACAAAAGGTATAAAAATAAGTAAATAATTGTTATATATAATGACATGGCATGATTATGTGGCGTTTTGTATGCTCCTAAAAAGTACCTCTTTTATATACTCCATCCGATTCGAAATTAAGTTCCAACTTTGTCTTCCTTGGATTTAAGGAGAAAGTAAAAAAAGGGTTGACTTTCCACTTTTGCCCTTGTTCAATTAGTTTTGGCCTGCCTTAGAGGAAAAAGAAAATAGGGGAATGAATAGTAAAAAAGGGGTACAACACGTTCATTCCAAAAAAAGTAATCATTACAAATCTAATTACAAGTTTAAAGGAGCATGCTTTGTTTTCGGCCATACACTCAATAAGGCAAACAATCTAAAATTCCCTCCCAAAAATTCAGTTTCCCTCCCAACCACAAAAATTTCACATTCTACTTTCTATAAATAGACATCATTAAAGCTTGTTCTTCAGCCTTTATGACTTCCATCTACCTCTCCAAGAAATGGACAGCTCACACGATCAAAGTGGTGCAGAAGAAAACAACAGCTTTGATCTCAACCTGTCACCTACAAGTGAAGGTACTCCACTTCTTATTTTACCTGCACCTACAGAAATACAACACCACGAAGGCAAATCAACTCAAGAAGGTGGTGTGCGCAGAAAATGTCCAAAACTGATTGATGAGCAAAGAAGAAGAATTGTGGAAATTCTTTTAAGCAATGCAATAGATCTTAAACTTTAGAGGGGCGTAATCAAGCAAACAACTTTGGAATTCAATGTCTCAAAAAAGACAATCCAAAAATTGTGGCGCAAATCAAAACAAGGTATGCAGTTAAACCTACCAATAAATGTGCATAGCAACCAGAAGGGACATGAGGGCTTTGGCTTTTGCCTTGGATGTGTCACAAACAACTGTCCATAGGTGGGTTAAGGGGAAACAACTTAAAAGGCACTCCAATGCAATCCGACCCCTCTTAAATGAGGAGGGTAAGGTAAAGAGGTTACGCTTTTGCTTAAAACACATTACTCCTGCCTCACTGCCCTCTAACCCTACATTTCATGACTTCTTTGATACCATACACATAGATGAGAAGTGGTTTTATTTGTCCAAAGAAACCACCACTTTCTACACCGCACCCACCGAGGAGGACCCCTACAGGACTGCTCAGTCCAAAAAAATCATACCAAAAGTAATGTTCTTAGCAGCTGTGGGCAGACCAAGACTGAGGGACAATGGAGATGTAGTATTGGATGGGAAAGTGGGGATCTTTCCTTTCACTTATGAAGACACATAAAAAAGAAGCAGTAAAAACAGACCAGCTGGAGCACTAGAGACAAAGGCATCAGCAAGCGTTACACGTGTAGTAATCAAAGATATGATACTCAATGAACTACTGCTAGCAATCAAACAGAAATGGCCCGATACAGACAATAGGAACATTATCATTCAACAGGATAATGCAAGACCTCATATTGACATTACGGATCCTGATTTTGTGAGAGAAGGGACTAAGGATGGATGGAATATCCAATTGACATATCAACCACCTAATAGTCCAGACCTTAATGTCTTGTACTTAGGGGTTTTCAGGGCAATAGATGCCATTAAAGATCAGAAAGCCCCCAAGAACATCCCTTACTTAATACAAGCAGTGACAACATCATATAATGACCTCACAACAACAACACTCAACAAGGTATTCTTAAGCTATCAATGTGTAATGGAACAAGTGATTACACATAATGGTGGAAACAATTTCAATAATAGGTATCGGAAACAATAAATGTACCATATTTTTCCAGATCCACCAATCGAGATCAATTTCAGACGAGGTTTCGGATGAATTGAATTTCAGAGGAATTGGGCTGTGAGGTTCTGAAATAGGGGACTCAACTTTCGGATCTGGCTTGGGAGACGAGGTTTCCTCAACTCCATGTAACATTGGAGACGATTTTGGATGAGATGGATCCATGCACAGGGGAAACGGTGGGGGGCGATGGAGGGAAGTAGCGATAGATGGGTTTCAGAGAAGAAGAGTTTCTGAGAGGGTACCGATGGAAGGCTTTGTGAGGGGTAGCGATGGGGGAGCTGCAGAGGGGTAACGACGGAATGGTTAGAACGGTAGCGATACAAGAGCGTGGAGGCCCGGGAATGAAGGGTTGCAGAAAGGAGAGAGAGACGCTGACAAAGGACAGAGAAGAGGGATGTGAGGTCCGTTGGGTTAGATGGGATAATGGGGTAGATGAGATGTGGGGGTAAAATAGTAATTGAATGGGTAAAACTTTCGAAAAATAGAAAGTGGAACTTCATTTTGGAACTTCCCGTAATGGAAAGGTGGAACTTAATTTCGAATCGGAGGGAGTATATATATTGATTTCTAGTTGAACGGAGAAAAATAACCTCACCACTCAAATGTCTCTACAAAGAACTCCTGGCTGCAATAAGCTACTCCGTAACTTTTTAAACTTCTCATGCTTCTGGCCTTGTGGGAGAGAACCGCTACCGCCGACGGCAACACCCCCCTCACATGTCTACGACGACGCGTTCTACACTTGGTTAGCCACCCACCTCCATTGTCTCCGCATCGCGTCCTTCATCACCTCCCTTAGAATTCAGAGAGGTCAGGTGGTCTCTGTTCTCCCACCCAAAATCCTCCTCCTCTTTTCTGTGGCTTTTTATCTTCCTTCGTGTATGAAGACCGAAGCACTCATGCGGTTTCTTTCCCTGCGCGCAAGCCACTCTGCCGTGCGGCAGAGGATCTCAGTCCCTTGGCGTCAACGGAGCTGCCAATTCTAGATCTATTCGTGACTCCCTTTTTTCTCTCTACTTTTATTTTATCAATTTTACCTTTTGTTTTGGTTGTTTTGACAGTTAGGTGTCTGCTTAGTGCTATCTACCTTTTTCTTATTACTTTAGCTTTTCTATTTTATGTTTTATTTTGCAATTTCATCCAAATTAATTAATACGGAGTACTATTTTATGTTTTTATTTTGCTAGATTTTATTGTATTATTTTGAACAAAAACACTGGATTACATTTTCCAAATTTACTATATCCACAATATTAAATATTACAATGATACGATAATGTAATATAATGTCATTGTTCAAAAATGTCACAATGTCAACAAAATTGCACAATGTTAGAAAAAGTATCACAATGCTGAAAATACATTTTAATGTCAAAATAATAACAATGTCAATTGTTAAAACTAGAATCCAGCTCAGGTCTCGTTCAAATTTCACCCACAAAGGATGAAGAACACCACTAAAGTCACTAAGGGGAAAGGGGCTTCAGCCAACACACCTTTTTCCGGCCAATTCGCCCTACAGTGGAGGAAGGAGGGTTTTTTTCTGGCACACCTCAATTACGTACAGAAGGAGAATATATATAGGGGAAACACCAAGAACAAAGATGGTAACTTACCTTACTATGAGATACGCAGGATGCGCACAAGGAAGGAGACGGAAGACGGAAGAAACGCGTAAGAGAGGAGCGAACCAGTAGCCAGAACAAAAATACATGGGACGGGTAGGGTGTAACACCCCTAAATTTCCCGCCCAAAACATTGATATATTTAAAAGAAATACTTTATTCATTCATCAAAGAGTTGAAGAAATACAGCGGAAGTCTGAAAGGGAAATGAGTGTTACCGCCACATTCGGTCATCTCTTAACCGAATGCACAGGCAATTCAAAGTAAAACAATAAAAACTAATGTAATAATAAGTAAATGTTTGTTTTATGACTAGATTTAACTAAGGCATCTTCTAATTCGCACTCAAGCTCGAGCAATCCGTCAATCCACATAGGTATCCAACTCATCACCTGATAAAATTTAAGGGAGAAGAGAGAGACAAGAAAAATAACAAAAATTAGCTTTAGAGCTAAGTAAGTACTACCCAACCCCGTAAAATAATCAGGTTTGAATAAAAATAGATTTTTATATAATATCATATAAAAATGACGCTGTAACGCCCCTCTCAGGGTTAAAGGAAACGTTACATAAACTTACTACTTTAAAAAAAACTGCAATATAATTGCCGTTTGTTTAAGAAATAACCCTGATAAAAACTCAAATATAACTAAAATATAACTCCAAATAAAAACTCAAAAAAAAATTTAGTTATCACCAGTAAATGTGATAACCACCTAGATCCAGGAATTTACTAAAACTTCAAATCCTCAAATAAAATAGAGTAATAATAATCACTTTAAAATAACATCTGAAATACTAAAAAAAAAATAACTAGCTAGAAGCCGCCAAGGTCGTTCCCGTTAACTCATCTTGGCACGCGTTCCACTCCCTCATCATCTTCCTAGGCCTTGGCCTTATTCTTAGTATCTGTACATGCGAAGAAAGAAAACTGATAAGCTTTACGCTTAGTAAGTCACTATGAATCCACAAAATATCTGAGAAGTCTATGCTAATTTATCAATAGATAATTTAGGCTATAAGCGTGCACTAAACAAATGACTAACAAATAGTTTCTCAAATAAATTCTGAGAGAGATACCAAAACAAAATATTTTCTAAAATAATTTCTCAAAACTACTAGAGAGATCTCAAAATTTCTTTCTCAAAACATCTCTGTAAAACTTTCTGAAAGAGATCTCAAAAACAATTTTCTGTAAAACTTTCTGAGAGATCTCATAAACTTTACCGTAAAACTCTTTGTGGCTAATTTTAACTGTGGGCCCGTGATATGTACTCAAATGCACCAATCCGAAAGCTCAGGGGAGCGACCCACTAAACATATCAGACTCTCTGAAACTGATAAACTGATAATCTGAGGGAACTTGTTCCCGAGTACATATCACCCGATCTTTCACTTTAAATATTAGTTCTTTTTATAGTGACGTTTGGGTTAAAAACATCATTAAAATCTTGAAATAAAGTACTGACACAATCTTGACTATGCCAGATAATAAACATAACTTAATACAACAATTACAATAACTCATCAAATAATTCACCAAGTTCACATAATAGCAAATAGTCTAAAATCATCTACTAAAAATCAACCAGACTTCTTTCTTTCATTTGGTTGAACAAACATGTACAGGTGGTAGTGAACTTACTTGTTAATAGATGAACTCAAATTACTCAAACAAGTGTGGCACGCCTTGATAACGTCTTCCGATAAACTCTTCCTTCAAATCTTTAATTAGATATAATAAGATAATTATTGATTTGATGTCTTAAACCATGTGAAATCCCATGTCTCATAAACTAAGGTAAATTAACTAACCAGTAAGTTAGAGTAAAACTTTTAAAAGAAAATGAACTTGGTTGATTATTACGACTAAAAAAATAGTAGCAGCAGCCTTCAAGAATTCTCTGTAAACAGTTTTCACCCCATACAGAATGAAGGAGCTATTACTTAACAAAATTAGCTACAGAAAGTGACTACCGATGAAATTGAAAATCAAAATTTTCCTGCGGGTAATGATTTGAAAGCATGAGATCTTTATTAGACAATATTATATAAGAAAACTTTGCAATAGAGCCATACTAGAAGTTTAGTGACAGAAGATTTTGACCCGGAAACTTAAATTTTCTCGATCAGAAATTTTTTAATCAAGTCCGTACACTTGCACTCTACCAGCGAAATTTTTTTTTTTGGACTGATCAATAAATCTCAATCTAAGTTGCCAACTTTTGAAAACTAGTTGTAACTGGAGTAACTAAAGATACAGAGCAATGGACCTACAACAAAAACTCAAAACTACTGCTGCACCAGTTGAATTCATGGGTTTACAAAGCATGAAATTTCAATGTAAAACTATAATTGGAAAAGTGACGGTGGAAAGCAGCAAACTTGCAATTTCGAAAAGGAAGATTTGATTAACTTAAACCTCAAAATCAAAATCAACTAGAGGATACTATCCAACCTACATTTACTATTGATCAACCCAATCGCTCAACCATAAGAAAACAAATAAGAACGAGGAAGGTAAGGAATCAGACTTACCCGTCAGAAAATTTTCAGCGAAGAAACCGATTGAATAAGGTAGAACGGTAGAAGGCTATGGCGGCCAGAATAGCAAAAACAAAGCCCTGGGATGTCTTTTATACTTTAACTAAGGAAAGGTCCAATTCATCTAAGTAAAAAAAATAAATTGGTGAATGGTTTGGGCCAAAAAAAGAACGGAGTAATTGATTGGGTCTCTGGTTATGTTAAAAAAAATTTATACCGGAGCTATATAAAAAAATAATCCCTTTCAAAATAAACTGATTAAACTATACTCCGTAGAGCATTATTTAATTATTATTCATTTATGATTTCTGGAGCTTATCGGTCAACGTTACCTGCCAAGGCAACACTCGATCAAACAATAAATCACATTATTCATAACGAAAACTTATTTAGCTGACTAAAATAATAATAACTAATTATTAAATAATTAGCTCATAAAAAAAATCGGGGTGTTACAACCCCTCCCACCTTATAAAAGTTTCGTCCTCGAAACTTAGAACAACTCAGGATAACGACGTCTCATGTCATCCTCAACCTCCCAAGTAGCTTCTTCAAATTTCTGATTTCGCCACAGTACTTTTACTAGAGCTATCTCTTTGTTCCGAAGACGTCTAACCTCACGATCAAGAATTTGTACTGGCTTCTCCTCGTAAGACAAATCATTTTGCACTTCTACTGTTGGAGGTATCAAAACATGCTCCGGATCAGCAAAGTATTTTCTCAACATCGAAACATGGAAGACATTATGAATGCCATAAAACTCTTCAGGTAGCGCGAGCTCATAAGCTACCTTCCCAACTCGTCAGGTGATCTCATACGGTCCGGTGAATCTGGGGCTAAGATTCCCTTTCTTCCCAAATCGCATCACGCCCTTCATCGGGGCTATCTTGACAAAAACAAAATCACCCACTTCGAATTCTAGAGGTCTCCTTCGAACATCTGCATAACTCTTCTGTCTGCACTGGGCAGATTCTATCCTTTGTCGGATACTCTTAATAGCTTCTGAGGTCTCATCTATCAACTCAGTCCTTCCTTGTAATTCTTCTTCTAGAACCTTCTTTTCTCCCGTTTCATACCATGATATGGGAGATCTACATCTCCTCCCATACAACGCCTCATATGGAGCCATGCCGATTGTTGCTTGATAACTATTATTATAAGCAAACTCCGCCAAACTAAGGTATTTTGCCCATCCTCCTTGAAAATCTATAGTGCATGCCCGTAACATATCCTCTAAAATCTGATTTGTCCTCTCCGTCTGGCCATCTGTCTGCGGATGAAAAGCAGTACTAAACTTCAACTTCGTGCCCAATGATTGTTGTACACACTTCCAAAAGTGAGAGGTAAATCTGGAATCTCTGTCTGAAATAATACTCTTCGGAACGCCATGCAATCTAACAATCTCCTGTATATATATATTTGCCAACTTCTCCAAAGAAATACTTGCTGAAATTGGGATAAAATGAGCAGATTTAGTCAATCTGTCCACTATAACCCATATAGCGTCATAACCTCCAGTTGTCTTCGGCAAACCCATAATAAAATCCATTGATATCTCATCCCATTTCCACTCTGGAATCTGGATAGGCTGAAGTTCTCCACCTGGTCTTTGATGTTCAGCCTTAACTTGTTGACACGTCAAACATGCCTGAACGAACTTTGCAACATCTTTCTTCATCCCTGACCACCAAAAGTTTTTCTTCAAGTCGTGGTACATCTTGGTCGAACCAGGATGCATAGTGAATGGTGTCTCGTGAGCCTCCTTCAAAATCTGCCTCCTCAACCCTTCAATGTCTGGGATGCACAACCTATTATGGAGTAATAATCTTCCACTCTGATCCACACGGAATTCGGGACATTTTCCCTCCTTGACACACTCCTTCAACTTAACTAACTCAGGATCAAGTTCTTGCTTCATAGCCATGTCCTCAAATACTGATGGAGTCACTGTCATAGCTGCTAGTCGCCCACCTACTACAATCTCCAACTCAAAATCTTCAATTTCCTTCCTCAGCCTTGGATCCATTACCATCATGGACATTACTGTTGCAGAAGACTTCCTACTAAGTGCATCTGCTACCTTGTTGGCTTTCCCCGGATGATAGAGGATCTCACAATCGTAGTCTTTCACTAACTCAAGCCACCTTCTTTGCCTCATGTTGAGGTCTTTCTGTGTGAATATGTATTTCAGACTTTTATGATCAGTGAAGATCTTACACTGGACTACATACAAGTAATGTCTCCAAATCTTCAACGCATGTATCACTGCTGCCAACTCCAAGTCATGAGTAGGATAATTCGCTTCATAGTCTTTGAGTTGCCGAGACGCATACGCAATAACTCGTTCATTCTGCATAAGAAATGCTCCAAGTCCCATCTTCGATGCGTCTGTGTAGATAACAAACCCTTCTTTGCCTTCTGGGAGTGCTAAAACGGGTGCAGATGTCAACCTATCTTTCAGCTCTTGGAAACTCTTCTCACAACGATCAGTCCACTCAAATTTCTTACCCTTACGGGTCAAGGTAGTCAATGGAAGAGCTATGGCAGAGAAGCCTTCTACAAACTTCGTATAATACCCCGCAAGGCCTAAGAAACTTCGAACTTCTTTCGAATTCTTCGGCCTGCTCCAATCTCGGACAGCTGCTACTTTCGAGGGATCCACCGAAACTCCCTGCTTTGAAACTACGTGGCCAAGGAATGCTACATGATCAAGCCAGAATTCACACTTTGAAAACTTAGCATATAGCTTATGTTTTCTCAGTGTCTCCAGTACTTCTCTCAAGTGTTTTTCATGCTCCTCCTTGGACTCTGAGTAGATCAAAATATCATCAATGAAAACAATGACAAACTTGTCAAGAAACTCCCTGAACACTCTATTCATCAAATCCATGAACGCCGTTGGAGCATTAGTCAGGCCGAAAGGCATAACCACAAATTCATAGTGTCCATACCGCGACCTGAAAGCTGTTTTTGGGATGTCACCTTCCTTGATTCTTAGCTGATGATACCCTGAACGAAGGTCGATCTTGGAGAAAATCACCGCTCCCTTCAACTGGTCAAACAGGTCATCAATTCTAGGCAGGGGATACCTATTCTTGATAGTCACTTTATTGAGCTCTCTATAATCTATGCACAACCTCATTGTGCCATCCTTCTTTTTCACGAACAATACTGGAGCCCCCCACGGTGAGTAACTGGGCCGAATGAAACCCTTCTCTAACAACTCCTGCAACTGTTTGTGGAGTTCTTGTAACTCCACTGGGGCCATTCGATATGGTGCTCTAGATATTGGGGCAGTACCAGGCAGCAGCTCAATCTCGAACTCAATCTCTCTACTCGGTGGTAGTCCAGGAAGATCTTCAGGAAAAACATCACTGTAACTCTCTACAACTGGAACTTCAGATAACTGAATGGGTTCTCCAGTGCTCTTGTCTACTATGTGAGCTAAGAAAGCTTCACATCCACTCCGAATAAGTCTCCTTGCTTGCAATGCAGAAATCATCACCTTCCCTGATCCCTTTGGCTCCCCAAGAAACAAGAAAGGATTAGACCCTGCAGGCGCAAAACTAACAATTCTTTTTCAGCATATATTTGAAGCACTATACTTCTGCAGAAAATCCATGCCGAGAATCACGTCATAATCTCTCATATCAAGCACGATCAGATCCACAAATAACTCTCTCCCTGCAATACTCATTGGCACTGCTCGTAACCAATGAGTCGACAACAAGATCTCTCCTGACGGAAGTGCTGTGGTGAACTTACAATCTAACTTATCTTGATGTGCTGCTAACGATCTAGCAAACTCAAGAGATACAAAGGAATGTGTGGCTCCAGTGTCAAATAGCACATTAGCGTATCTATTAAGAACAAGTATCTGACCTGTGACAACACCGGGATTTATCGATGCCTCCTCTTTCGAGATTGTGAACACTCTAGCAACCGGAGCCTCTGGTGGTGCCTCAAGACGCCCTTGCTGGATGGATGGTCCTTCTAGATAAGCCTGCATATTATGGACAGCCGCTGAAGGTGTTGGATTTCTTGGCATGTGAGTGATCTGGTAGTTTTGCTGATTCTTTCTTGGACAATCTCTCGACATATGGCCCTCAAGGCCGCAAGTGTAACAAGCTCTAGAACCCAATCTGCATTGGCCTGGATGATTACGGCCACAATTTGCACACTGTGGGAATTTCATCTGTTTATTTTGGTGTCCCTGATGGTGACCATCTCTTTTTCCATCATTGCCCGTGAAGTTTCTCTTCTTGTTACTCTTCGAATTGTTCATGTGTCGTTGTGACTGATTCTGTGACTGTGAAGGCACAGGCTGCGGCTGAGCGGGTACTGGACCGCTAGAGATGTAGTACTCCTTTTGAGTTGCTATAAAAACACAGTCAGCTAGTGTAGCTGGATTCTGATTGCCATTCTCCAAGTGAACTGCTATATCCTTCCTAAGAGCTGCCAGGAACATCCTCACCTTATCTCTTTCCGTCGGGGCAGCTGTAGGACAAATACGTAGCAGCCTCTGAAATTTTGCCGCCAAGGTTGTAACATCCATGGTTCCCTGGCGTAGACTCTGAAGCTCATCCCGGTACCTACGTGTGACACTAGCGTTGAAATACTGGTTGGTGAACTCCTCTTTGAACTGCTCCCATGTCATCTGTGTGATGTTGTACCTTGTTTCCACAGTCTCCCACCATATTCGAGCATCCATGGTGAGGCTGTAGGATGCACATCGAACCTTGTCATTATCTGCTAGTTCCAACCCATTAGCAATGCCTTCCACGGTCTTCAGCCATCCCTGAGCAGCTAGAGGGTCTGGACCCCCCTCGAAATCTGTGGGCTTGATCTTCCTCCATGTGATCATCAACGGTTCTTGTCTCGGTGCTCCATGCCCCCTAGCATGATTATTTCCAGCATTTCTCCCTTCACCACCGCCCCTTTGATTGTTCGCGGTCAAACGGTCGATGGTTTGTTGCTGCTCCTGCAACTGCCTCTGAAGTTGCGCTACTAGTCCTGCCAAATCCTGCTCGTGATTGTTTCCTTGCTCATTGTTGCTACCAACTGGACGACCACGGGTTCTCCTCATTTTCTTAAGGCACCTAAATATAAACTTTTATTTATGTGCCATACACAATACAAAAGGCAAAACATTCTCACTTCTGTTCTCTATCTAATAAAACTCTTCTTGCTCAAGCACAGAAATTTAAAACTAACTTTAAATACTTACTTGGAAGATGATGAGCACGTGTACGGTGACAAATGAAGTTACGGGACAACCCGGGCTCTGATACCAAATTTGTAACGCCCCTCTCAGGGTTAAAGGAAACGTTACATAAACTTACTACTTTAAAAAAAACTGCAATATAATTGCCGTTTGTTTAAGAAATAACCCTGATAAAAACTCAAATATAACTAAAATATAACTCCAAATAAAAACTCAAAAAAAATTTTAGTTATCACCAGTAAATGTGATAACCACCTAGATCCAGGAATTTACTAAAACTTCAAATCCTCAAATAAAATAGAGTAATAATAATCACTTTAAAATAACATCTGAAATACTAAAAAAAAAAATAACTAGCTAGAAGCCGCCAAGGTCGTTCCCGTTAACTCATCTTGGCATGCGTTCCACTCCCTCATCATCTTCCTAGGCCTTGGCCTTACCCTTAGTATCTGTACATGCGAAGAAAGAAAACTGATAAGCTTTACGCTTAGTAAGTCACTATGAATCCACAAAATATCTGAGAAGTCTATGCTAATTTATCAATAGATAATTTAGGCTATAAGCGTGCACTAAACAAATGACTAACAAATAGTTTCTCAAATAAATTCTGAGAGAGATACCAAAACAAAATATTTTCTAAAATAATTTCTCAAAACTACTAGAGAGATCTCAAAATTTCTTTCTCAAAACATCTCTGTAAAACTTTCTGAAAGAGATCTCAAAAACAATTTTCTGTAAAACTTTCTGAGAGATCTCATAAACTTTACCGTAAAACTCTTTGTGGCTAATTTTAACTGTGGGCCCGTGATATGTACTCAAATGCGCCAATCCGAAAGCTCAGGGGAGCGACCCACTAAACATATCAGACTCTCTGAAACTGATAAACTGATAATCTGAGGGAACTTGTTCCCGAGTACATATCACCCGATCTTTCACTTTAAATATTAGTTCTTTTTATAGTGACGTTTGGGTTAAAAACATCATTAAAATCTTGAAATAAAGTACTGACACAATCTTGACTATGCCAGATAATAAACATAACTTAATACAACAATTACAATAACTCATCAAATAATTCACCAAGTTCACATAATAGCAAATAGTCTAAAATCATCTACTAAAAATCAACCAGACTTCTTTCTTTCATTTGGTTGAACAAACATGTACAGGTGGTAGTGAACTTACTTGTTAATAGATGAACTCAAATTACTCAAACAAGTGTGGCACGCCTTGATAACGTCTTCCGATAAACTCTTCCTTCAAATCTTTAATTAGATATAATAAGATAATTATTGATTTGATGTCTTAAACCATGTGAAATCCCATGTCTCATAAACTAAGGTAAATTAACTAACCAGTAAGTTAGAGTAAAACTTTTAAAAGAAAATGAACTTGGTTGATTATTACGACTAAAAAAATAGTAGCAGCAGCCTTCAAGAATTCTCTGTAAACAGTTTTCACCCCATACAGAATGAAGGAGCTATTACTTAACAAAATTAGCTACAGAAAGTGACTACCGATGAAATTGAAAATCAAAATTTTCCTGCGGGTAATGATTTGAAAGCATGAGATCTTTATTAGACAATATTATATAAGAAAACTTTGCAATAGAGCCATACTAGAAGTTTAGTGACAGAAGATTTTGACCCGGAAACTTAAATTTTCTCGATCAGAAATTTTTTAATCAAGTCCGTACACTTGCACTCTACCAGCGAATTTTTTTTTTTTTGGACTGATCAATAAATCTCAATCTAAGTTGCCAACTTTTGAAAACTAGTTGTAACTGGAGTAACTAAAGATACAGAGCAATGGACCTACAACAAAAACTCAAAACTACTGCTGCACCAGTTGAATTCATGGGTTTACAAAGCATGAAATTTCAATGTAAAACTATAATTGGAAAAGTGACGGTGGAAAGCAGCAAACTTGCAATTTCGAAAAGGAAGATTTGATTAACTTAAACCTCAAAATCAAAATCAACTAGAGGATACTATCCAACCTACATTTACTATTGATCAACCCAATCGCTCAACCATAAGAAAACAAATAAGAACGAGGAAGGTAAGGAATCAGACTTACCCGTCAGAAAATTTTCAGCGAAGAAACCGATTGAATAAGGTAGAACGGTAGAAGGCTATGGCGGCCAGAATAACAAAAACAAAGCCCTGGGATGTCTTTTATACTTTAACTAAGGAAAGGTCCAATTCATCTAAGTAAAAAAAATAAATTGGTGAATGGTTTGGGCCAAAAAAAGAACGGAGTAATTGATTGGGTCTCTGGTTATGTTAAAAAAAAATTTATACCGGAGCTATATAAAAAAATAATCCCTTTCAAAATAAACTGATTAAACTATACTCCGTAGAGCATTATTTAATTATTATTCATTTATGATTTCTGGAGCTTATCGGTCAACGTTACCTGCCAAGGCAACACTCGATCAAACAATAAATCACATTATTCATAACGAAAACTTATTTAGCTGACTAAAATAATAATAGCTAATTATTAAATAATTAGCTCATAAAAAAAATCGGGGTGTTACAGACGCACTCTTCCAAAATACTTTTCTCTTTGATTTTTCTAAAATTTCTTCTTTGCTAAAATCTTAAACTTCTCTTGGAAAATCTCTTAGTAATTCTTCTCTTTAAACTTCTTAAAAAAATCACTTCTTCTCTAACTTCCTAGTAATTTAGAAGGGCGGTGCTCAATCTTTCGGTAGAGCCCGGTGGACCGTGGTTACGGACGGCCACCCCGAACAAGTGCAGGTACCACAACTGCTCTGTTGGAAACGAAACGACTACCTTAAGTGTGCACACCCCCTAAAAGGGGTTCCAAGCCCTCCGAGTAGTAAGTCATCCCGAGTGGTCGGAACCCAACCACCCCAATTCTAAAATTCTTGAATGATTAGGGACTACTACTATAACTTCTTCTTAAAAGGGATCATAGATCCAAATCTTGCTTAAAAGGGATCATAGATCCAAATCTTGCTTAAAAGGGATCATAGATCCAAATCTCACTTAAAAGGGATCATAGATCCAAATCTTGCTTAAAAGGGATCATAGATCCAAACTGTACTTCTTAGTAGTAGTAGCTCTAATCACCCTCCACATTTATCCGGATGTGGAAAAACCGACACCTCGGATTACTCCCGAGATGCTATCTTCTTTATGAAAAGGTAATTTTTATCTTCGCTTAATAATACTTCAAAAATACTTCTTAATTTCTCTAAAAAGTCTCGAAGGTATTTAAAAATATTTAATACCCCAAAAGTACTTGATTTATACTTCTTAACTACCATATATATAATATCTTCTCAAAATCACATACACAAAATTCACAATTCACACTTAATCACATAATGCATATAATAAGCATATAATACGAGGAAACAATTTTGGATTGGCAGAGAAACTTACCTTAAGTCCTGTTGCTCCTAGTTATCCTCCTCTAATCCGGTCTCTAGATAATCACATTTTTAATTAAGATGATATAATTAGTCACTTATTCTATTTGTAATTACTTCACCCGCTTTTCTCCTTTTATTTTATTATTCGAATTTATTAACTTAATTTATTAATTATCCGAATTTATTTGATTACTCACTTTCTATTATTAAAATTACCTTAATAATTTTATCCCTTAATTTTCAATATTTGAAATAAAATATCTGAATATAATTGACTACAACATCCAATTTTTATTCAATAATCACCATTAATTTTCTCTAATTATTATCTAATTACTTTATTTACATAACCGAATATATTTATTTTCCTTATTTTATTCAAACATTATTTTTAGTCCAGAATATTATTTTTCAACCTCACTGATTTATTTATTTCACCATTAATACTAATATTTCCTTACTTAATTACTTAACTAGTTTTATATGGCCTAATTTAAATAAATAGACTAAGAATCGACTTTATAAATTAATAACCATCCATAAATATATTTTGGGTCTATATTCGACCTAGGTTGTCCAGATATCTATTTTATAATTATTTTCCATAATTATTCCTTTAATTTCATATATCTATTAATCGGTTTAATTACAATTAAATATACTAAACCTTATTTTTATTAATTATAAATGGTCCATAAGGTCCTAGTTAGTCATATATTTATCCTAGTTTACTCCAATATTTATTTCATAATTATTTTCGTCATTTAGTTAATTATTTACTAAATGTGTATAAATTGGCCCAATTACCAATAAATCCATTAAAAATAGCTACAAAAATTATTTTCCAATTCTGGATGGTCCGAATATGTATATTTATACTAGGTATTTAATTTATATTTTTCCAGATTTTATTTATTTCATTTACTATTTTATTTTTAATTTTTATTGCAATTGGGCCGAACTGGCCCAAATTAAATTATTCTGGCCCAAAAAAATCAGGCCCAAGACAGACCCCAGCCTTGGCTGGGTCGTCTTCTCCACCAAGTCGCCGGAAAAACGGGAATTTAAGGGGGGGGAGGTGTTACCTCGTCGGACGAGCGAAACGGCCGGCTATTGGCTCCGTTTGGGACGGCGATTGACGTTGGTGGGTTGGCGGCAGCGGCAGCTCCTCCCTCTTCTCCGTTTTCCGTCGAAAAGTTTTTCTCCGGCGAATCTCCGGCGAGGCTTTTCTCCCTCGTTTCACGACCGTTTTCGACGATTCTTTTTCCGTTGGATTCGTATCACGAAGGGGAAGGTTTGAGAAGTATTTTCAAGGCTTGGTTCTGGCTAAAACGCTGGGTCGCAATTTTTATATATATATACGTATATGTGTATGTATATTTCGTAGTTTTTTTTTTTTGGGATGAAGAAAACGTAGGTTCTGGCCTATTATTTATAGGGAAAGATGAGGGTTTTAGGCTGAGATGTTAGAGTTGGAGTTAAATTTTGATTCTTTTGCACCTTTATGAGTATTAGGAGTATAATTGTTATATAATTAGTATTACTAATGTACGTATGTAGGAGTATACTCCTAATACTAATGTTAGTATTTGAGTATAATTAGTATTACGTATTTATATATCTATTAGGAGTATAAGTAAGTAGTTAGTTAGGAGTATTATACTTACGTAGGTTTTTATATTATTTCCGTACTTAGTTTATATATCATAGGAGTGTATATATATATTATACGTACTTAGTTTATTTATCGGACCATTTTTATCAGACTAAAAATGTCGTAAATGTAAATTTTCTGTCTGGTTCACTTGTTTACTAAAATGTTGTTCTTATTACTGAAGTATTTTTATCTGACTAAAACGTCATAAATTTTGAAAATTTTATCTGATTAAAATGTCACATCTGTTGAATTTTTGTCTGACTCAATTATTTATAAAAATGTTATTTTCGTAATATTTTATCTGACTAATAAAAATTATTTTTATTTTTATTTAAATTTTTGGAGTGTCACATAGGGGAATTGGGCTTAGGGAATAAAGAGGGCCAATACCAACACATTCTCCACCTTATTGGACCATAGTGGTGTAGAGCACAACGCTCTAAAAATAATTTGAGACTCATCATCGTTGGATTGCCCGAATGATCACAAAGACACATTCAGGCAAAGGGGTAAGATCACCAGGCAACTTAACCGCAATCAATGTTTAACGTGCGCTTGCACGACAACAACTTTTCGACAGAGAGACATTTAGTCCCCATGTCAGCAGGATTAAATTCAGATGGAATTTTAATCAACTTGATATCACCTGCACTAACAATATCACGTATAAAATGAAATCTAACATCAATATGCTTAGTTCTATCATGAAAAACAGGATTTTTGCACAGTTGAATAGCAGATTGACTATCAGAAAACACACAAATGTCCTGATTAAGACTACCAATCTCCGTTAGGAGACGCTTAAGCCAAATGGCTTCCTTAAAAGCTTCGGTAGCGGCCACATACTCGGACTCAGTAGTGGAGAGGGCAACTATGGGTTGAAGTTGAGACTTCCAACTAATGCAAGACCCGCAAAGGGTAAACACATAAGAGGTAGTGGATTTCCTATTGTCTCTATCGTTAGCAAAATTTGAATCCACATACCCGCTCAACTTAACACCCTCAGAACACCTAGTGAAAACCAACCCATGATTAACAGTAGATTTCAAGTACCTAAGCAACCACTTAAGAGCATTCCAATGAGGCAAATCAGGATTAGACATATACCTACTCAAACAACTAACAACATAGGCAACGTCGGGTCTAGTACTCACCATGAGGTACATCACGGACCCAATAGCATTGGAATAAGGCACAGATTTCATTTTAGCAATTTCAGGAGCAGTCTTGGGAGACTGATCCTTACTTAACACAAAGTGGGACGCCATAGGGATAGAGACGGTAGTAGCAGAATGCATGTTATATTTACTCAAAATCTTTTCAATGTATGAAATCTGATTGAGTACTAACACACGCTTACTCCTATCCCTAACAATGTTAATGCCTAGGATCCTCTTGGCATCACCTAGGTCTTTCATTGCAAAGTTCTCACTGAGACGCTTTTGCACACCTTTAATGGCGTCACCCGAAGGACTAACAATCAACATGTCATCCACATAAAGCAATAAAAATACAGGCACAGAAGAAGTATCTTTAAAGTATAGGCAATGGTCGCACTCGGACTTGTGAAATTTCAAAGATGACATGCACTGGTCAAATTTGATATTCCACTGCCTCGGGGACTGCTTCAGGCCGTACAAGGCCTTCCTAAGCAAACACACATAATTACTCTTCATGGGATCCACAAAGCCCTCAGGCTGGGTCATATAGATTTTCTTGTCCAAATCACCATGCAAGAAAGCAGTGGTGACGTCCATTTGCTTCATTTCCCAATCATGATGAGCAACAAGAGCAAGCATAGTTCTAATCGTAGTGAATTTAACAACAGGAGCAAAGATTTCAGCATAATCAACACCTTCCTTTTGAGTAAATCCCTTAGCAACTAACCTAGCCTTATATCTAATGTCGTTAGGATCTTCCTTAACCTTAAATAGCCACTTACATTCAACTACGGAACTATTGAGCGGTCTAGGAACTAACGTCCAAGTCTTATTCGTTCTAAGTGACTCCATTTCACTCTCCATGGCGCAAAGCCATTTAGCGGACTCATTAGACTTAAGGGCCTCCCTGTAGGTTTTAGGTTCGTTAAGCTCAAGGGTCTCAAACACAGAGAAAGCAAACATAGAAGTATCACACGTATGGAAAGCAAAATCAGGCATGCTATCAGCAGTTCTCCTAATTTCTCTCCTACTTCTATCTCTAACAAGTTGGTAATCATGCAAAACATTATCACTAGGATCAGCACTCTCATCATGCGATTCATTGTCATTTGAATGCACATGAGAATGCTCCACCTCACTCGAAGTGGTGGTATTATCATGCTCAGAAGAATCATGCATTTCAGAAGAATCATGCAAATTAGAAGAATCATGATTAGCAAACAAAGGACAGCAGCATATGGTATGGACTCCACCTCAACAGGTGTACTACTAGGGCTCGACTCAGAATCAGGAACTGACTTAACCAGACAAGGGAACTCGGATTCATTGAACACAACGTTTCTACTTACCACAACCTTGAAACCTACCTGGTTCCTATCCCAAACCCTGTACCCCTTCACACCCTCAGGATAACCTAAGAAGACTCCTTTCTTAGATCTAGGATCCAATTTGTCACCTTGTTGGTGCACATACGCAGCACACCCAAACACTCTAAGATTAGACAAATCAAGGGGCTTGTTTGAAAAAACAGATTCAGGGCATTTCCCACCCAAGGGAACAGAAGGAGACCGGTTAATCAAGTAGACAGCAGTATTGACTGCTTCACCCCAAAACTTTTTAGACAAACCGGAGGTGGCAAGCATACTCCTAACCTTATCTAGAACAGTCCTATTCATTCTCTCGGCTATCCCATTTTGTTGGGGAGTATAGGGCACAGTTTTGTGCCTTCTAATCCCACAATCAACACAGGGCTGGTCCATATCCTTATTGCAAAACTCTAATCCATTATCGGTCCTAAGGGTTTTGACCATCTTACCGGTTTGATTTTCTACAAGGGTTTTCCACTCCCTAAATTTCACAAAGACATCGGACTTATGCTCAAGAAGACGGACCCACACCTTCCTAGAGAAATCATCGATAATGGACAGAAAATATCTCTTACCCCCGTGGGTAGAGACACTAGCAGGACCCCACACATCTGCATGAACATACTCAAGCACAGAGGTACACTTAGTGGGATTAGGATAAGGGGAAGAGGGGAATGTAACCTTATGCTGCTTGCCTAACACACAAGATTCACAGAAAGGGATGGAGGACACAGAATCCTTACCAAAACAACCAGATTTATGCAAAATCTCTAAACCCTTATTACTCATGTGTCCTAATCTATTATGCCACAAAGCAGTTTTATCAGAACTAACAACATGAGCAGAATCACAGAAAGGCTGAGCATGGCACACATACAAATTATTCACCGTTTTTGCCTTAAACAAAACAAGGGAATTTTTCAAAACTTTCATGCACCCATTTCCCCATTTACCCTCAAGCCCACTACCCTCAAAAGCAGCGACAGAAAACAAGTTATGACGCAAATCAGGGACATGCCTCACATTTTTCATAGTAAACACAGTCCCATTATCAAACTTTAAGCATACATCACCCACCCCATGTATTTTGCATTTCTTATTATCAGCAAGAGACACAAAACCATCATTGCAAGAATCATAAGAAGCAAACAGAGATCTAAAAGGTATCATATGATAAGTACAACCAGAGTCAATCAACCACTCATTTTCAGTCATGCTACTCAACACAGAATTTGCAGAATCACAGACCATAAAAACTTCTTCATGCAAGTTATTATCATCTACCACATTAGCATGTTCAGACTTCTTAGGATGGGGACAATCCTTAATGAAGTGACTAGAATTACCACAATTATAGCACACTCTCTTCTTAGACTTACCTCTCTTCTTCCCCGGGTCATTGTTATTGGTCTGGTTCTTATTGTTGCTACCCTTCTTATGGTTTCTAGATCTACTCTTAGACCTACCCCTTACAAGCAACGCTTCACCAGAATCCCTAGATTGACTGTTACTACCCTTCGAGTGTCTAAGGTCTAACTCCTTACTCCTTAATCCATTAACGACTATATCTAACGAGATATCGTCTCTACCATACTTTATGGCAGATTTGACGTCATTGTAAGAGTCAGGGATGGCATTAAGTAACACTATGAGTGTGTAGTCATCTATGTGTTTATCACCGGCTTGCTTAATGTTCTGAATAATCTTGTTAAACACATCTAGGTTCTCATCTATGTCTTTGGTCAGGTCAAGCCTAAACCTAAAGAACTTCTCAAGCAAAAACAATTTACCAGGCAAAGAAGTATCGGTATACAACTTATCTAACTTGTCCCACAACTCTTTTGCGGAATCTATAATACCCACCTTCCTGAGCACTGAATCAGAAAGGTTTAGGTAAATAGAGGAACAAGCAGTTTCATTCATCTCAACACGCTTAGCAGCATCCTCAGAGTCTAAATAGAGACCGGTCACGGCTCTATAGACTTTCTGTTGGATCAACACACATTTGATTTTCTGTTTCCAGATATCAAAATCTGTCTTTCCGTTAAATGGAAGCATGCCATATTGATTGACAGCCATATTAACAGTAAAGCAAGCACAACACGCAAGAGAGTAAATAAAAAATTTATCAGGCTATCAACCGGTACGAAGCAACTAGCACAAACAAGCCGAGAAGACCAATGAACACAAGGCTCGGGTACAATCTCCTTGTTCTTTCGTACAAGCACAGATAAAAAAAAATTATTTACT